GTTGTTAAATCATCAGAAGGAAATGCGTCCTGGAATACCGATGGGGCGGGAGCCTTTGTTGTTGAATCATCAGGAGGAAATGCACTTTTTGATGATTTCTTGGTAGGTGAAGTTTTCTGCCGTGCAGAACCAGAAGTGTTTTTGGTTGAGGGTGTACCTGCCGATTTCTTGCCCATAATAGAACTTAAAACAATTCGCTCAAATATCCTATTTATGAACGTATTAAAAAACTCTTTCCTTGAAATTATAAATCCACAAGTGAAGTTAATAAAAGGGTAAAAAAAAAGGAATACATCAACATGTAATTGGAGGGTTAATTACTACAGGAAGCAGTATAATAAAGGTATTTAAGTATTCTTCAGAAAATTATATTTAATAACGGACAAAAGAACTTTTAACATTTTGAAGTAATGTCTGTATTAAAAATAAGGAGAGCTAAAAACAAGAATCTAATTAGAAAACAGGTTGCAATCTTAGCATTACAACTGTGTAATAAACAAGCATATATTCAAGTTCTTTTGTAGTCAAGTTATAGTAAAGTTGGATAAGAAGTATATCCGTTTTTCAGAAAATTAGTATAGAGATCCGGTAAAAGTCATCTATCCAGTCCAATACAAATGATTCTGAAGCTTCCATTCAGATTATCAAAAGGTAACCTTAGACCATACTTGGAAGGGTTTTCGATATTGTTTTCAAAAATATTTGATGAAATCACTAATAAAGATACAATGTCGAATACTTAGATGTAAATATTAATAAACAATGAATATGAGCGCTAGTGAAAACTAACTAAATTAATCAGATGTTGATCTTAACTTTGAATAAATCAATAGAGACCAGTATTAGTGAAATCAAAGAAACTAGGTTATTATGCTAAACAATAGAGAAAACGCTTAAAAATATACTTACAAAGTAATATAATAATGCAATATATATATATATATATATATATATATATATATCAATGCACTAAATGTAAGGAATAAGCTGTTTGGTTTTTAAAGGTAACACAATTGATGTCAAATATCCGTTGTGGTGAAACAAACATGCTACGGAACATATGATCTCAGTAATATACGGAGTATAATAAATATGAAGGTTGTATGTATCAAGCGGATTATAATGTATTGTTATAAGAGCACTAGTATTGATTCAACGCACATCAAAGGAGTTTTTAATGAAATAGGTTTGTATTTTTTCGTTTACATGTAATGTTGGACATAAAGTGAGAATTCGTCAGAAAAAAACAGATATTTAAGCAAGATGAACAATCAAGTTGTGAGTAATTTAAAAAAGAAAAGGATTTGAACTCAAAGTAAAGTAATAATGAACAACTACTGGAAAAAATAACCTTAGACTAACTTTGAGGGGTGTATATGTAGACACTTCAAAAAGAGAGAAAAGGGAATGGAAGCCCAACAATAAGAAGACAAACCCAATACCATCATGTCTACCTCAAGCGAGGGGTCTATCAAACATCAAAACAACTTTTAATGAACAATAACATTAAAAATTACCATAAAGTCCATTCATCGCCGTCAGTATATCTTTAAACAATATTTCCGTTTCAAGCGCTTTGCCCGGCGGTAACCCTGACTTTTAAAATAAAAAGCGCCGGTCCATTGTTTTTATTAATCATCATTGTCCCTGCTATTAAAAAAAAACGTAAAATATTTACCCCCTCCCCCCCCCAAAAAAAGGAAGTTCTCAGGCTAAGAGAAAAAAGGCACGATCAAAATCGAAATTATACTGAAGACCGTTGCACCATTGTCTGGTTCTGATTGGGATGGTGGGGGATCAAAGAGCAAAATAAATTCGCTAGGTTGCATCAGCGAATTTTTTATTAATGTATGTTACAGCTTTTTTTTGCTTGTATAATTATTTGAACTAAAGATAATGCAATTCAATTTTATATTTCCAGCCCAGAGGTACCTTTTTTTTTTAGTTAGGGTCTGCGACCTCCGCTTCTGGACGATTTCTGTTCTTTACAGGTGTATGCTAATTTTCTTTTTTGTATGTATAGAACTCGGATATATACTTTCAAAAATCACCATGTTAAATATCTCTTTGTTTATAGCGACCATTTAATTTCATTGGAAAAATGTATTATTTTTGTTCGTTATTAATATATATTTTTGTACTTCTGCATGACTAATTGTTATCTGAATTGTGACTATTTCTTTCCTTATTCACTTATTAGTATTTTTTTTGTCTCTTGGAAAAAGATGTTTATTAAAAATATTATTATATCAGGATTTCGTTCTTATCGAGAGCAGTCTTTTCCAGATGGTCTTTCTCCCAGAACAAACGTGATTGTTGGAAAGAATGGATCTGGAAAGTCAAACTTTTTCTCGGCGGTGCAGTTTGTACTAAGTGAGAAATTTTTTAACCTTAGTGCAGTAGAACGTAAAGAACTTTTTCATGTTGGTAGCGGCCGACCATCTCTTTCAATTTTTGTTGAAATTGTATTCGATAATTCAGATGGTCGCATTGTAATTCCAGGACGAGCTGAAGAACTGGAAATACGGATCCGCAGAACAGTAGGTCTTAAGCAAGATGAATTCCGAGTTAATGATCGACGGTTCACTGCAAATGAAGTCCATCAGTTGCTGGAAAGTGCTGGGTTTTCATCAAATAACCCATACTATATTGTTGAACAAAGCAGAATAACGCATCTGGTTACCATGAATGAGGAGGAACGATATCAAATAATTAAAGACATTGCAGGTACTAAAATTTACGACGAACGACGAAGCGAAAGTAAGCGTATTCTTGATGAGACAAAATCAAAACAAGAACAAATTAGCCACTCTATTTCACAACTAGAAGGCAAGCTACGAGAACTCGAAAAAGAAACTATTGAATTAAAAGAGCTTCAGGATTCTGAACATGAGAAAAAGTGTTTGGAGTACTGTATCTTCAATTTGGAGCTCGAAAACTGCAAGGAAGGACTATTTAAGTTGGAAGCTGAGTGGTCTTCAAGGAAAACTACTCTTTTCAAGAACCAGGAGTCAGAAACCTTGACTGAGCAAGAAATTCAAACTTGTGAGGATCAACTTGCAGAAATCAGTGGTCTTATGTCTCGGCTGGAAACTGAAAGGGAGTCTATTGAGAAGGAAATATCAATATTGAGTAACAAGCAAACCGTGATAGATCTTGATGCAAATGATGGGGCCAACAGTTTACATCGCGTTGATAAAGAATATGCTGCACTCCTAAAAGAGAGCAGTGATTTGGAGAATGTACTCGCAAAGGTCAAAAAGGATGCACTCGATAAACGAGACATGTTTAAGAAGAGTGAATCCCTTGCCATTAAGAGCCTTGAAGAAGTTGACCAGATACAAAAATTGGCTGACCATATGCAAGAAAAAAGAAATCGTAACAGGCTCTTCAAGAATCAAACTGAAAGAGACAGATGGATAACGAACGAGATTTCAAAAAATAAAGAGACTATCGACAACTCAAGGTCAGAACTTCAGTCTGTTGAAAAAGAAATTACTTCTCTGGATGAGGCTATAAAATTAAGAAAAATTACAAAGGACACCACTCATTCAGTGGAAAAGGTGGAAAAAGATCTGGAGTCACGAGAAACCAAAATAACTGAAGCTCTGACGAAGAGAAATAATCTTAACCAGAAGAGACGTCAGCTTTGGCAGATTGTTCATGAGCAAGAAAATGTGGTAAAGCATCTTGAAGAGTCGTTAAAAAGAACACATCAAAAGATGGAGCGAATCATCCCTTACGAAATCCGACAGGGACTTCAATCTCTCCAAGAGATTCTGAAAGAATTCGATGCAAATACCCGAAAGGCAGTTCACGGACCTCTCATTGATCTTATTTCTGTAGAGGATGGCTTTCAAACCGCAGTTGAAATAGGAGCTGGTAATACTCTCTTTAATGTGGTCGTTGATACATTTGAGATTGGCGCAATGGTGCTAGAAAAAATAAACAAAAAGCGAAAACCTGGTCGTATATCTTTTTTCCCACTTGACACCTGTAAAGGTTTCAAAAAAAATATACCAGAAACACCAGAATGTTCATCGCTTCTTTCCAAAGTATCATACAATGATCGTTTCACCAAGGTTGTCGCAGAGGTATTTGGAAGAGTTGCCGTTGTTGCGTCGCTGGAGTCAGGTTTAAAATTTACAAAAGAGCTGCATTTAGATGTTATCACTCTGGACGGAGATCAACTTGGAAGAAAAGGTGCAATAACAGGTGGGTATATAGACAAACTGAATATGAAGCTCCCCATCTACGCGAATGAAAAGAGTCTAACACTGACCCTCACGGAAGCTCGGAAAAAATTGGATGATCTTTGCCAAGAGCTTGCTTCTGTTGAACAATGTATCACAGAAGTTTTAAATGAATTAGAATTCCTACGTGCAGAAAATATATCCACTGAGAGAAAAGCAGATGAAGAATTTCGTGAGGCACGGCAACGAGAAGAGCATATTTTACGTCTCAGCTCTCAGAAAGAAACCCTTTTATCCACAAAGCGCACATTGGCAAAAAATATTCAGGAATCTATTGAAGTAAATAACCGTTTACAGGATGAGTTAGGAGAGAAATTTAAGATTAATTGGACGGAAGAAGAAGAATTAAAGCTAGAAAAACTATCTGAAGAGCTTGCTTCTATGAAAATTAATTACGTCTCGTTACAAGCACAGCCACTTCATTTGGCTACAGAAGTTCAGCTCATGGAGGACAAGGTCCAGCATATGGAGCGCAGGAAAGCAATGATCGCTGACCGTATTCGGGAAATCGGATGGTCCAAACGTACAACACACGGTCTTGATCGTGAGCGTGACTCGCTTAAGCATGAGTCCATTTTGCTGAACGATCGTTTGAATGCAATCAAAAAATCTATCGATGCTTCAATTCAACAAAAAGAAGAGATTCAAAAAAAAATGGAGAATCTTAACTTGAATCAACTTTCGAAAGCATTGTCTCTTCAAGAAAAAGAGGACATAATCGATAAGACACAAGCTCAGCGAAACCTCCTTCTTCAGAGACAGGACGAAGCTTTGAACAAGCTTCGTAAACTAGGTATAGTTCCAAAGGGTTCAGAAAAATATGCCAACTTTTCTCTTGGTAAGTTGATGCATCAGCTTAAATGCGTCAACGAATCTCTAAAAAAGTATTCCCACGTGAATCGAAAAGCGATTGACCAGTATACTGCCCTTCAGCAATCCAGTAACGAGCTAGTAGTCCAACAAACTTCGCTTGAGCAGGAGCTAAAAAGCATCTACGACCTAATCAATCACCTTGATATGAAAAAAGATGAGGCCATCAATCGTACCTATAAACAAATTCAGTATCATTTTGAGGAAGTATTCAAAGAACTTCTTGAGACGGAGGATACCTATGCGGAGTTGCAGTTAGTAAAAAGCAAATCAAATAAAGATGAGGATCCGTACTGTGCTGCGCGCATTTGTGTATCATTTGGCATGGGGACTGTTGTGAGCGAACTTGAGCAATTGAGTGGTGGTCAAAAATCACTGGTTGCCTTGACATTTATCTTCGCTATTCAACGCTGTGATCCCGCCCCATTTTACCTTTTTGATGAGATTGACGCTGCCTTGGATGCAGAGTATCGCATGGCTGTCTCGAATATGATACATAAACAATCTGAAGAGTGTCAATTCATTATTGCAACTTTCAAAACGGAATTTCTTACAACAGCAGACAAAGTCCTCGGTATTTTTTTCCACAACAAGGTTAGTCGTATTCAAACTATTTCGATGGAAGAGGGAATAAAAATGCTAAGACAAGTAGCATTAGCAGATCGGAAGCGTAATAGAGAAGCAGAATATCAAGATCAGATTACAAACAACTAAGTTCTATTTTGACAAAGTGTTTGATATACTCAAAGTAATTAATGGGAAGTGCACAAAACAGAATCCCCCTACCGACAACTGTAATAGAATTGTTTAAACATAGAGAAAAAAATTTTTTTAATACTATTTTGCTGTTTTACAGAATTGAATATTCACTTTTATTTTTTTTCCCTTTAAATACAAAATTACGTATTTATGGCACTTTGAATAATCTCTTTTTTTTCTGCTTCGTTTCAAACATACAAAAATAGCTTATTATATTGGCAAAAATGATCCAAGGTCCTTTTTTTGTCATACCGACGCAAAAAGGCTCGGTACCGAATATGACACCTAGTCAAGCTCAAGCAATATTGAACCCTGATGAACGATTTATCAGTGTTTCACTATTTGATGCAATAGACTTTTCCGTTCCCTGCAAAGCGGCACAGATGAACTTTTCAAGGATTTGTGGCTTACATGATTTCCAAACAATCATGGTAAACCGCAGCTCTTTTCATGGACTTCATCCAAGCGCACTGTCCACCGCTTCGGGAATATCTGGTGAATGTGAAAAAGGTAGAATCACGGTGACAGTTGAGAAATATAAGGATTTAGTGAAAATATTACAGCCTAATTTTGCAATCACGATGACTGAATCTGTTCCACACTATGAACCACGGCCTAAGAAACGGAAAATAGCATATTCCCGTACGGAATCTTGGCTAGATGAGATTGAAGTCTCATGTAATGAATTAGACTGCGTTCTCATCAAGCCTTTTTCAGTGAGAGGTGCATTGGGTGGGTTTCTGGATATAATTTGCAAAAACGAAAATGGTTTAGAACTAGCTCTTTGTTTAAAAGAACTTCAGCAAAATCTTAAAACTACTTCTTTTGCTTGTTCAAATTCTATGGTGTCTGTTTTCACTGCACTTCTATTCAATGTGTCGTTCATTGAGAGTCCCGTGCCGTGGACGCTTGCAGGAAAAGGAGTTGCTATTATCCTGGCCTTCGGTGATGTTGCTGATGCTACCAGGGATCCCGAAATTGATCTAAACGATGAATACTTTTCCCTCGATATCAACCCACTCTGCCCCGGTTGTGCATGCTATACATGTCGACGGCATACTCGTGCCTATATTCACCATCTTCTTACGGTGCAGGAAATGAATAGCACAATTTTGCTTTCTATTCACAATTTTCACAGGCTAGTTGAGGTCTTCCGCCGTGTTCGAAGTTTATCTCTTGAGAGGCGCCGAGAATTTCTAGTGTCATTAATTAAGCAATATTAAAACCATCCTCGTAAACGATACTTATGCCCGTGTATGGGTGGGAGGAGCGATATAAGCTTAAAGAAAAATCTTTGAATCTAATTTTATTGCTATTTTATGTTATAAACAAATTCTACGAGGGAATAAATCTTTTTATTTAGCTTTTCTAATTCCCCTTTATAAGTCATTAAGGTACTAAGAAAATGAGCTAGAAACAAAAATGCTATTACTTATATCGTAGAGTGCACCAGACCGGAAGGAATCCGTGTTTTATGGGGTTCCAAAAGGATCATTTGAACCCTGTGTCGATTCATCCTTTGGCATTACGAGTATTTTTCGGTTCGGTTTCTTGTTTATTACAGACACCAGGTTTTATAAATCACGAAACTGTTTTATGAGGGCGGAGTTTCAAAAAATCTAATCCAGAAAGCTTCACTGAATTTTCAAAATGCCATGGCTCATTAGATAGTTTTTTTCGATGTAGCTACGACTTTTTTTTTTTTTGAAGTCTGACACCACATCAATAAGATACTTCACCAATACATTACTGTTCATTCCATACACGTTTATTCTTTAGACAGGCTTATATTCAGTTTGAAAATCGCTAAATATAAATTATCCAAACATTTATAAAATCTTCTTTACTCCAGAGCAAAATATACTGGATTAGTTCTAAGCAATGAATACAAATGCAAAATGAAGAATGAAGTATAGATTGAATGGTTGGATGAATTCCAGTGTTCAAAAATTTAAGCGTTGATGCTTACATTATGTGAGAGGTGTGCATTTTTACAGAAGGTTCAGGAGTTCTATGAATCATGTCTGAAGTTAATTCACACACTAAAGCAAATTCATTTATTTCCTGCGTTTGATTTGCAATCAAGTAATGGGGCTATAGTTGCTGAGTACTGACTACCGTTACCCTCTCATTAATTTCTATTTTCTTCGCTGGACAATCATACTGTTCAACTTAAATGAGTAGTTTCCTGAGGGATGTTGAGATAAAATTCAACCTATATTGCAGTTCTGATACCGTAATAATTATCATATATTTTTAATTACTAATACTATGATATAATTTCCTTTTTTTGGTATGACATTGTAATGGAAAAGAAAATAGGCTTTACTACCATTAAATATATTTTCATCAATGAGCTCTATTATTTTACAATTGTATGTCTCCTTTTTCTAAGCGCATACAAACCTAATGGTTCTATATTATTCTTGTTAGGGAAAGTGTGCGTTAATCGCACAATGTTTTTCGATCCGTCAACTTTTTAGTGCTCGACGTGCTCATGTAATGTTATCCCAGTATACGGTATCTACCAATCTGATAAAGCCTTTGTCTATGTGATCAATTCAACAAGGGCATCGGTCTGTGGGAGCTGTTGCTCTTGAACTCAATCGGTTAGTCATTTCCGTTTCTTAATGGTTCTCAGATTTGTTTTCCCTGCGGGTAAAACTATTAGCTAGGCTTTCTTGAATATTCCCAATACAATTCCACGCTTTTCTAATGTCCATGTTCTTCAGGCTCAATGCTTCTTTAAAATACGGAATCAGTTTCTCCTCCTCAAATTTGTGTTTGGTATGCGAATGGAAACTGCTCCCCTCTGAAGGATTCATATGTTGAAAGAAGTCTATTTTACGCAAGCTCCTTCTTCAAAAGCTCTTCGATTTTACACCGAATATTATGCTTATTAATAGATTCAAAAGTATCAACGACCTATTCTTCTTTGATGCTATCATCATATGACCGTGCTTTAGTTCTTGGTCTAAATTTTCGTCCTTTTATACTTTAATCGGCATTTTTTGCCATAATAGAATCCTCGCTGAAGAACATATCCAACTGTTGCTCATCTTGCTACTAAAATTAGCCATGCCTCCATGCTTAAGATGCTAGTGGATTACGAACTTGAGAATGAAAATGATAGTAGATGAATGTATATTTATTTGATATGGGATTATTCCTAATATAGAAGTATATATATATAATCTAAACTTGATCAATTATGGTTCAAGGGGAATAGTTTTTTTTCTACAAATTTTTTTTGTATTTTCTTAGACCCGACGATCGATATAATTGTGCTGAATTTATGTCAAATGACATGTTAATCGCTTGAAAAAAAACATCGATTAACCTTTTTTTAAAAAGGTCCTCTACCTCAGTTTTCACACCGAAATGAGACTTTCCCATTTATCTAGACGGGCCATATTAGCCCCAATTAACGTTTCAGGAGTGCGTACGCCATTTTTCAGAGTGTCATCCGTATCTTTCCAAGCGACCTGTGTGTGCACCAAGCATAGGATTTCCCATAAAGGATTTGACGACGGCACTCGCACGACTCTTTCCGAGCCTTTCAACCAACCCGTTAATTTTCGCTCATCTTTACCACAACAAGCGATGGTAAACAAAGGCCCCAGCCAACTTGGCGTGGTGTATTTGTCGTCCAAGAATATATCGCAAGAAATGGAAACCAAAGTGCCTTTTTTCCTCTATTTTATGGTTGAAAACCACCCTGACATCAAGGCCTTCACGAGCATGTTGTGTAATCAGGTGGACCAGACTAATAACCGGCTCAAAGACTCAAACCTCGGGGAGTGTTATCAAGAGTTTGGGAAAGATGCAGGGTTGGCGATAAAGTTGGGGTTGGTGAACTGCTTGGAAGAGCCAGGTTTAATGGAAAGGTTCAAAATCGAACCCAAAATGTTCCCTTTTATTTATTTTATCCTGAAAAAACTATTCTGCGACCGGCTCGCCGGTATTGTTTCTGAAGCACAGGTCAAAGAGTCCATTGAGGCGTTTATCGACTACGCCAAGGCGGAGGCCCAAAGCGAAAAGGAAGGTCAATCGTTTCAAAAAGTAAAGCGATCGGACGATGATGATGAGAATGCCATGACGCTGCTTAGTGCGGCGATTAAATGCTTACAAAAAAAAGATCTTTTAAAGGCGAAGGAGCTGTACAACAAATCGCTGGACATGTCCAGAAAGGAGATCGAAATCGTCAATAAAAGGTACGGCGTTGGGCGGAAAAAAATGACGGCGGAGATGTCGGCGAGTTTAAAACGTGAGGCCTGCTATAATAGCGCCCCTCAGGCGATGTGCGGGCTGGCGATGGTTGCCGCGGCCCAATATGACAACGTAAAGGCCATGGATATTGTTCAGCGTGTGCGGGATGAATTTCCTTTTTCCGTAAAAGACCTGCGCACGGTCGCCGAAGCGGTGGTCAGAATCGAGCTCTTATACATTGCAGACTACGATATGCGGAAGGATAGTTATATATCGCTTCTCAAGTACGATAATCTCGTCGGGAACCCCGTGACGTTTTATAAAAATCGTCTTAAATTGGTCGTGGCGTTCATCCTCGACGGCTACAACGCCCAAGCAATCGAGGAATGTTTGAAGATCATCCGCTCCGAGCACAAACTTCTACCAGAACTGAAGGAAGGTGGATACTTCCCAGAGAACTTTGTTTTAGGACCCACGGCGGAAACCCCTGGGCGCAAAATGATATTGAAGATCTTTGAGCTCTTAGGAAGCACGAATGAGCATGTCATAAAAGGACGGAAACTCTTACAACTCTATATCTAATGCTTGCTAATCTGCCTTTGATTGGCCTTTTTCCCCTCAACTGCACTTTCATAAATTTCACTTGAATAGGTATAATAGGTTTGAGATGCTTTTAATCTTTTTACCCCATACCACTTCAATTTTTATCGTTGTTGTTTATTTTTTTTTGATTACAAACACTGATCATATTTGTCATTTTTTTTTCGCATCCCCATAAAAGAAGTATTTTCCTTACAGTATCCACTTTTTTTTTTTATACAGTTCAAAATAGTAATACGCAAAATAAGATATAGAAACTTTCTTTAAAACCATTATTATCATCTGAAAATGTCAATTTTATACAGTTGTGTGAATCAAGGGAAAGAACTTCTTACGGAATTCCCAATTGATGAGCACCCCCAGTTAGCGGAAACGATGCAGAGGGTGATCGCGACCATTCCCCCCAATGAGTACCGGCGGAAAACCGTCGAGGATAAGGAAGGGGGGGTAAATTATAATTATATAAGTAATGGCGAAGGACTCATCGTCGCCTGCGTGGCGACAAGCGATAAGCGAATGCGGATGGTTTTCGCATTTCTAGAAGCAATTGAGCCGTTAATTCGCGACAGTATTGGTTCCGAAGGGTCGGAGCTTCGAAATGGCAAGAAACTTCTCCGACAAAAAATGGATTATTACAATCATCCAGGTACCGATAAAATCGTGGCCATGAGTGATGGTATCGACCAGATCGTCGAGGTGATGAGGGAGAACGTGGAGAAGGTCCTTGCGCGCGGTGAGAATTTGGATTTACTGGTGGACAGGGCTACTAATTTGTCTAACCAAGCTCAAGAATTTAACAGATGCTCCTCGCAGCTTAAAAGAAATCTCTGTATAAAGAATCTTAAGTTAACGTTAATGATTGCCGGTGTTATTGTTATTTTTTTAATTATCATTCTGATGATTATTTGCAAGCCAAATTTCTCCAGATGTAGTTAACTCAAGTAAGTGTGGGTAATAAAAGAGTATATGTCTAGTTTGCCATTTCGTATTGCTTGTATAATGTATTTCTAGCAACTTTGTGCACATTTATTTCATTTTAATGTGTCTGTGTTTTACGTGCAAAAAAAAGAAATTGTTTGCATTTATTTAGAGCTTGCGCTTTTTCTATTTATTTTTTTATCTGGCGATGTTTATCAAACATATGCAATGAAGTTATGTTAAGTACATTATAGATTTTCTGTTACTTGAAAGATGTACTAAAAAAAAAAAGCAATATATATCTTCAATAATATTCTAAATGATATTAAATTTATATAGAAAGCAGTAATTTTCACAAAGCGAGTGGTGTAAACAAGTGAAATAGTGACCGCTGTGAGAGGTGTTAAACTCCTAACTGGTACTTTTAAGGTTCATTTCTTATTATTTGCTATTCTAAAGTACTTTAAAAAAATCACGCGAGCTTCTTCAATAGGGTAATACATTAAAGACGACAAGGGTAACACTAGAAAACGATAGCAAGACAAAAAACAAAACGCCAAAACGCCAAAAGTTCTCTTCGTCCGAAATGAGTTTAGCGGACGACTTAGCCTGGTCGATGGTCGAGGAGGCCGTTATGCGGGACCGCGGGTTTGACGAGGAGAAGGCCTTGGCGAATATTGTCCGTTCCTACCTCGTGCGGCGAGGGATGGCCCGCACACTCGAGGCCTTTGATGCCGATCTTTTAGACTACGCGTGCGATAATCACACCTCGCCCGATGTAGAGGAAGGCCCATTTAAGGTTCCTCGAACGGATTCAGAAGTCGTAAAGCTGCCTAGTATTTTGACGGACGTCCAGAAACGAAAAAATGCGCAAATTCTTTGCTTAAAGGAGCACTACGCGAAAGCAGCGGCAATCTTGCCTGCACGATCGGTTGTTCGTATAAAATTGCTTTGTATGGAGTCGCTTAAAATTGAAAATGATCAACTGGCGATGACGTACGTCGCGACAAAAGTCGCGCCTTTGGTTCCTCAATGCGTGGACTCGCAAACCGCGCATGGTATTTATTTAGACAGTGTTTCCTACCTTCTTAACAGAAACGGCTCCACAAAAATAATGGACAAAGCCTTGTATACTCCCCATGAGTTAGCCCGAGAGGTGAATGAGGATTTATTGCATTCAACAGGGCCAAGCTCTCTAAATGTTCTTTTATCCTGGGCAGATTGGCAACAAAAGAATGCTTTTCCTTTGTAATCTATTATTTTCATCTTACGGGGTTCCTTGCAAGATAATATAGATATATTTATATGTCACTCCCATGATCTTTCACTGTCATTGCTTAAACTTCACTAAACGCGATTCCTTTATGTTTTTGATTTGGTCATCCAAGTTTTGACACTAGTCTCTATTATTTCATACAGAGTTGACAAACTCGGTGAACCAATCAGAAGCCGATGTTAATATTCTTTTCTATTTTTTTTTCTTTAATAATAGAATATAGATAGTTTGAAATGATCCAATAGTCTTTTTTGGCCTTTGTTTTATACTTTATGGTGCTGTTTATGCCAACAATATCCGGGTGCATGGTGCTCTGTGATTGAACCAGCCTTAGACAAGGCAGATGCATGTTGCCGGGTTTAGGAATAGACCAGCGGTGAAATTAAAGTCCTTTTGCCAGTATATAATATTCATTCTTTTTAATGATCGGTCTCGATACACATTATATTATTTAAAAATATTCAAGGACCACAAATAACGAAATTCTTAGAAAGGTTTATTATTATTAGAATTTACAAATTTTCTATAGTATTTTGTAATAGTATTTTTATAATGAACATTCTTCAAAAGCTGGGTATTATTGATTTTATAATAAGGAACCACATACAAAAGTTGGTCTGATATTTTTTAACAAACTATCGTTTGTTTTTTTGCGTTGATCACGACGATTGGATATAGCTACATGATTTTACTTGACAATTTATCTCCCCTAAAAGGAAAGGCTTTGGCATCCTGATATCTTAGCGAACCTTTTCTATTTTGTGCTTCCCCCTTAGGTAGGTTGTCGAATTATGTTGAGGCATGCAGATATGTATGGGTTCGGGTATTTTTAAGGGTATTATTTCGCAGAGTGCTTTTGTTATATTCTATGGTTAACAGCACTCTTATAGTCTTACCCTAGATGTGAATAATATACGGGAATAATGCTTTGATCGGCTCTATGCGCACTCACACATGAGGAAGATCTTAAAATAGGTTAGAGGCGAAACAGGCCTCGAAAAACCAAAATTCTGTAATTTGATTTAATATTGCTATATTTTTGATTGAAAAACGAAAAACAGCACTTTTTTACCCCATTCCCTTCTTTTAGATATGTCTTATATTCATATATGCAGGCATGGGCAGGACTTGGACAATGCCGCAAGCACTCTGAATGGCCATCGCAATCAGCCTCTTTCGGCGCTTGGTGAAAAACAAGCTCAGCGGACGGCGGAAAACATTTTAAAAAGTGGCATTCATTTAGATGCGATCTACTCTTCACCGCTGCGACGTGCCCAACAAACCGCTGAAATTCTGCGCACGATGATTCCCGCCCCTTTAGAGCTTGAGAATGGGCTTATTGAGCGTGATTTTGGTGCTCTCACGGGCAGGCCGTACTCGGATATCCCAAAGTTAGCCGGCGATAACGTTTTTCAGGGCGACAAGGTTTTGTATTTTCTGGAAGTGGATGGATGCGAAACGTTTCCGTCTTGTTTAGATCGTGCACGGCGTGTATTGGCTCGTTTGGATGCGAAACACTCGGGCCAACACGTGCTTCTGGTTTGTCATGGTGATATCGGAAAGATGTTAATTGCAGCTCGTAGGGGTATCACATGGCAAGAAGCTCTCCAGCTACCATACTTTGAGAATACAGAGGTCATTTCGATTTGATAATGATCGGAATGGGAGAGCAAACGTGTGAAGAGATGAAAAAATATTCTGTTTGTGTATCAAAGTCTAATTTTTCGATCCCTATCCAATACCACCAAGTGGTTATTTTAATCTAATAGTTTGGGATGCTTCATTTTCTGGACTTTTATTCCATTTTGGCTCACATTTTGACCGACAGAAGGAAGTAATTATAGGTTCTTATATCTATATCTATACGATAGCGGCGATGGCCCCCAAGACGTGGGGAAAGCCATCCCAACCCCCCCCATTGCCCCCTACGCACGCCCCTCTTGTGGCGTATATTCGCTCCGCCATACAGGCCAACAACGGCCTTGGGATGCCGGAGGCTGAGATCGGCGGGATGGTGGACCTCCTCCTCCACGCCCCAACCCGGGCGGAGATCGTCGAGTGGACGAATACCCTCCTGCTGGGGGAGGCCTTCGCCGCGGAGGTGATTCAGCGCCGACTGGCCTGCGGCCTTCCCTTTGAAGGGGAGGGCATCCCCACGCTTTCCACGCCTTCCGCGGGGGCGAAATCGACCGGGCGGGTGCTGACCATCCCGGGAAAGCGAAAACACCCCGGGGGGAGGCGGGCCCTCGCCGTAAAAAAGGGCGATTCGTCCTCGTTGAAGCCCGGCAAGTTCGAGTGCGGCTGCTTCGCGACGGTGCACCCTTTACGGGGAAATTGCGCGAACTGTGGTCGAATTATCTGCGAGCAGGAGGAGGATGCGGTGTGTTATTTCTGCGGGTTAACGCCATCGCTCTGCGTGGCGTATGAGATTGCCGTTCAGGAAGGAAAGGTCACCGAGGCCGTACAGCAATCGAATCAAAAGAGCTACGAGGCCGCCATCGCCCGGCGGGATACGCTTTTGGAATACGCCTCGAATCGCGCGAAGCGGACGACCGTGATTGATGACCAAAAAGCGTCGTTGTTTTCCCCCCAAAGCGCGTGGATGACGCAGGAAGAGCGGCTCAAGCAAGCGAAGTTGTTGGCCCAAATTGAGCGAGAAAAAGCGAACGAGAGACGCCATCGGCACACGGGCCCCTATCAAGTTCACATCGACTTTGTGAACCATAACCTCACCTATGGCACCCTCTATACCTCCGGGGATGTGGCGGCCAAATTGGTGAAGAAGGAGTATGCTAAGTGCCATGCCGCGGATGGGCATTCCAGTGAAAGCGGCTTGGATACTTCAGAGGCTTCGGGTACTGAAATTGAGACCCTCCCGACCATTGAGTCTCGTGCGGAACCGCTGCCCTCGCTTCTTGAAAAAATATGGTATAGCCCTGGGGGCTCGGTCTCGCCGAAAAGCGACGAGGCGGCCCTTTCGGCTCTCAACGATCGATTGTTAAGGCGCCATGAGGAAGTTTCGAAACGGGTCCAGCAAAATTACTTTGAAGAGGATGCGCAGCTTTTTGGGGTTGAGGCGCTGGACGTACAACCGGCGGAGTTGATTTTCACCCCCGGGATAAGGGAAGGCGACATGCCAGGCCCTGACGAGGAGGTCCATGCGCCAGCTGCGGTAGTTGAGGCGCCCCCAGTACGGTCATTGAGTTCGGATGCTATATGTTTTGCCCCCACCCCATCCATGCGGCTACGCGATGATGGAATTTGTCTTTCCATCCATCAGCCATGGGCTACGCTTTTGATAGCGGGTATTAAAACCCAACACGGGCTTGTTTGGCGTACCAACCACCGCGGTCGGTTGTGGATTCATGCCGCGACCACGAAGGTCTCGAAGGTGGAGGAGGCCGAGCAGCGTTATGCCCAGTTCGTGCCTCCGGGGCACGTGTTCCCCAAACATTACCCCACAGGGGTTCTTTTGGGTTATGTCTATCTCACCGAATGCCTGGATCAAGGGGCCTACGAAAGTGCCCTTACTCCAGAGAAGCGTCAAGTGAATTCGCCCTTTGTGTTAATATGTGTCGAGGCAAAGCCACTCCCTTTTCTACTTTCAATGGACGGTGGGTACAAGTTGTTTACGCTCGATCACAAGATTCAAACCGCTGCAAAAAAACAGCTCATGGAGATCAACTAAAAGTCATCAAACCCTGTGAATCGGTTCGGACGGTGGTGGGGGTTCCCAGACCCTTGTGTTGTCTGATACTCTCTCAGTTCTACATTTGTTTCTTTATAATGTGTTTCTTCTCTTCCTCATCAGGTTTAGAGTGGCATTAATCGTCTCATCTGTATTTTTTTTTTACCTTTCTAAGGAGGTAAACGCTTCAAATCAACATTACGATCGACCGTGCAGTTAAGTGCTCTTTATTCATACAACAATGTCTTCATTCTCTTCTATCCTGCTTTGTATTTGGCTATTCTTTTCATTAGCGATATTTATATCTAACCCAAATAATAAGGGCTTAGCCAATCAGTTTGCCTTGCCGCGCTATTGAAAATATACATTTTTGTTGTTGTTATATGCAAAGCTGCCGATACGTCGCGGTGCATATAGGGTTTGGTGTCATCGTTTCGGAAAGTTAAGCTCATCACATATTATTTTATTTGGAACGATATCAGCGGATTACGCTATTATTTTACTTCCCCTTTTCTCAATCGCGGACTTTGGTTGGTTTCCTTCCTTGACTTTCTCACAATTTCCGAGTATTAGCATATTCAAATGGGAAAAAGAGAGCGTGAAGGGAGCTCGAGCACTGCTTCTTCCTTGTCTTCTTCATTTTCCACGAAGAAAACTCATAAGAAACCCAAGAAGAGCAAACCCGTCTCAAAGGAAAAGAATTTTGATCAGCTGACCCGGCATGCGAAGCAGGCGCGCGACGAG